GTGACGAAAAGAAGTAATCTGGAATGCATACAAAAGAATTTGTGCAGGAAAAAACAAACATATGATCTTTGAACACTTTTAAAATATGAATCTGAGCACTCAAGATAACCATGATGTCGATCAACAGATAATTGTCAGTGAAACTAGAATATTTGAAGATGATACTAGGAGAGAGACTCTGGCGTATCCTCTTATGAGCTTTTCTTAAGTTGTTAGATTTTTATTCAAGACCATATAATCTGGTGTTTCCAACAATACATGTACATTAGCACAACACTCTCTTTGAATAAAAAAAGCTTGTTAGCGCAGCCTCTTTGGAGCTGAAATATGGAACTCACATATACTCTCTACTCCCATTAAACTAATATAAAATGTGAAAAGTGGAAAATCTCCGATAGACTGACTATAGCTGTTTGGTATTATAATCGATGTGGAGAGTAATGATCTATCTAATTTCTGCATTTTTAACAGATTTTTTAAAATATTTCTTCGGCGCCTTATTTTTCTGTTTTCATTGTTGCTATTCCCTCATTATTTTTCTTTCTTTTTAAGTCGTTTTTCTTAATTTAACATTCTCATTATTATAATCATTGAATTAATTGATAATATTAGTCTGTTTTATGTATTCATGATATCTACGGACGATCTTACATACTATCATATATATTAATCAACTCATAGATAATGATGTTCATTATTCTTCAAAATTATAACTTGATCGATTTTATAAAAGAATGACGCCTGTTATTTTCGATTGCTAAGGTCTGTAATGGAGGAGATGTCTGTAATGAGGGGATGTCTGTAATGGGGAGATGTCTGTAATGGGGGGGGGGGTGTCTGTAATGGGAGGGAGGGGGTCTGTAATGGGGGCAGGGGCGTCTGTAATGGTTGCCTGTGTTGCTATGGTCTGTAATGGTGGGAGTCTAGGAGAGGTGGGGGAGAGCCGTGAAAACTCGAACTTAAAACTTACACTCACTATTTTCTTCGAAAATATATGTGAGTTCCACAAAATGCATACGAAATCAAGTCATTTCTAATATACGACGCTTTAACTCGAAATGTTTTCAATTTTATCATCGATACTTGAAGTACTGACGAATTAATGAGATTCTCGCGACTTAGTATCTCCGGTTATATAGTTATCGCATTAATGGAAAAGTATCTTGACACAGATTATCTTATTTAAGTTGATAATTGGTACTCAAGTACAAGGTTGTTTTAGGCTCTGTATGAACGTTCAATTCAAATCTCTAGTACGGTGAAGCAGACCCGTTCTGATTTTTCAAAATTTCAAGGGACATGGCACAAAAAAGTAGTCTTTACAGCATATTCCATTTTTGACAGTTCTAAGTGACATGATAAAAGGGATGAATATATATTACCCGCTGCGCATAATTTCTCAATGATACTATCAGGAAATCGGACAGGGGGACAGCGGATTTCAAGACTTCAAGAGACTTCAAGACTGTATGAATGCACAAGAAACCGTAGAAACTGGTTGTAGGTGTCAAAAATTCAAGGGAGAAACAAGTAATTTAAATCATTCCTAAATCAGTCAAAAATTATCAAAAATCTACTGAGTTTCAGTGCATTTGAGTGATTCTTTCTAATTTCTCATGATTACCAGTCATTCGTGGCAACTTCTTATTTCCTCAAACTCATCATAACTCACCGAAACTCATGCAGTTCACTGAAACTCACAAATCACTGTCTTTCTGTTGAAAAGAGTGTGTTGACGTCGATATGGATATTCGCGTCAACTACAGTCACAATTACCCCGCTAGCAATCATATAAACTTTTGAGTTATCAACTATGATGCTTGTAAAGTTCAAGCGAGCTCTAATATTATCAACACATTGACAAAACAATAAAAGTTCACATCTCTGCTAAAATAAGATCATCGAAAACCAAGTTGTTTCGTTATTTTTCTTATGAACGTTCCATTGCACTAAATGCATGTAAAAAATTTCAAAACATTTCATCGGACTTCTTAGAACTTCAGAAGACTTCACAGAAAAAAGAACATCAATTCTTAGTAAAGAGATTTCCAAAGTATTACACATACAAGAATTCAATGGACACAGGGATATCATAGGTAAATGCACGATTCAGATCACATTGTCGAAATCCCTTGAAAGAGTCATTAAATGGCATGATAAGCTCGCCTTCAACATAGTTAGCCTATCAATTATCAGTACTTATATTTTATTCAAAAATATGAAATATCAAAACTTTTAGCTTGTCCAATTAAGATTAGAAATTATTCGAATACTGATTCCCAAGTATGGCTACATGAGATTACATGTTGGCAGACAACTGAGTGCTCATGCATTGCGATTAACTGTGAGACGTTTTCTATTTCCAACTTCAGCAAATGAAAGCAGATGTGCGAAGTAACAGAGTAGTGCGCACTATCAGTGTATTGAATGTAATACTGGGCTGTACATTACCCACTATTTCAAATACTTCAATAACCTACAAAAACTTTGTATCATCTCGTATCTGTCTAAAAGGATAAAAAATAATGAGCTGTAATGATATTCTAGAGAGGTTTTCTCTCTCTTTTATGTCGGTAAGCAAAGGACTAAATAACTGAGAAATGGAAACCTTTTGAAGATGGTACGCTATTTAAACATTAGTTATATGGTCTTTTGCAGAAAGAGAATGACATATTTCCTGAATGCAATATACTATTTCCGAGATAATTACACAGTGACGTTTTATGCAATTACTATAAGCCTGTTTGAAAACAAATACGATTTCTGCGGCATTTTTCATTCTCAAAAATCTGCAGAAACTCTCATTTGTTTACTTGTTAGCAACAATTACAACAGAAGCGACAACGATAACGCAGAGCACCACCATCACCACAATGACAACGACCACCACCATCACCACAATGACAACGACCACCACCACCGTTACTATAACGATGACAACAAGTGAGTGACTATGTTTTCAAGTGATTTGCATGTATCGATTCTATCTTAGCAACATCGTGTAGCGGAACGGGTCTTGGTTCCTTGCTATCGGCTAGTGGATCAAATGGGTGGACTTACTATTCGACGAATTATACATCAACGAAGACAGCACCTGTGCTCCAATTCGCCGTTCACGGTGGCGCAGCGGCAGAGACTGCTTATTTGGATGATGTCTCTGTCGTTGACGTTAGCCTACCTGCTGTTCAGTTGCTTAGCAATCCCAGCTTTGAAATGTCAACATCAGAACTGACGGGTTGGGTTATGTGGTGTACGTCCTCCTGTGGCGGTAGTGGCGATGGGGGGCGAATCAGCACTTCTGGTTGTCAAGCCAGTTCTGGAAGCAATTGTTACAAGGACCATTGTCAGACTGGTTATGACTTTCTTGGTCAATCATTCTCGGCAACAGTGGGTGCTATTTACAAAATTTCATTTTGGTATTACAAAACTGGAGGAGGTGCCGGAAAATTCTATGTCGATATCAACTAATGCAGCAGTGCAAGCCAATAAGAATAAGAAGACAGACGAAACAGAATACTTTGACTGGAAATAACATGTCACGCTTCTTTTGTGTTCGATTTTAAAAAATAACTTCATATAGCACATTTGCACTTCAATGTCAAACCTTTGATAATTCGCTGTGCAACCACTGTGCTAATTTCTAAGAAAATTCTAGAAGATGAGCCTATACTGTATGAATTTCTCTTGTAGGAGGACCTCAATATTTTGAGATTGCCACAATTTGTTCCTTCCTCTACAAGCGCTTATTGCAGTAAAATTAGGAAATCATACTAAAAAAATTGGTGACCTGACATCTTGTCGCATGAACACTTCGTAGTGTGGACAATGAATCGCCAGTGAATTCGTGGGAATAGTATAATCTAATAACAAATTTGCATGGTCCTTTTCATTTTGTAAGAGACACGTGTTCTCCAGTGGAGAGAGCAATAGTAAAAGAATACTAATGCTCCCTATGACAATCTTAGTCATAATTTTAAACGTTCTAATTTACGCATATATTAATGAGTCTGCCGTGAAACGAACAATACCGTGATCGGGAAAATGATGTTGTAACACTAGCATATTTAATGAGGCTACTGAATTACAGATATATCTCGCTATCACTACAATATCCAACATTAGTCACAGTCGTCTGTGTGGCAAGTTGCTCAAGAGAGCTGAACAGATTTTACTCAATTTAGAATATAATCAACGAAACATTGGCCATATAGTTTTTCTCACCAGTCAGCAACAAATCGAATCGGGTGATAAATTTTTTGCGCGACCTAATGTCGAGTAATACACGTTGCAACAGCATTTCGAGCGTCAGGAAAAGCGATGCATTTAATTCTCTCAATAAGTCTCTGCTCATGAATATCATAAGTATCAGCAATTTTAAAATAATTAGATTTAATTGATTCACCAAAAGGATAGATTTTTCTAAGAAAGATACTGATCAGAAAATGAACTTATATATTGTTTCTTAAGCTGCTTGAACTGTTCTGTTCTGTAACTTTCTACGAGAAGAAAAATAGAAAAATCTTTTTTATTCACTATCATCACGAGGAAAAGACAACAGAAAGCAAAATGACAACCTTATCTTCTTAATCATAGTTAGGTCTTATAATTACTGGAACAATACTCTCTTCACTTTTTCCAAAGAAAATTTATTTTTTTCTTTGTCTTACAATTCGCTAAAATGAATTATAACGATCGTATTATGCAAAATTCTTTAAACTTTAAGAGTTTCAACACAGGAGTTTCTATAACCCTTATTGTTTGATACCAATAAATCCCATTTTTGACGGACTTTGGTTTGGCATAAAATTCATTATTTACTCTATTTGAAATTATGGTGGTACCCCCTGACAAAATACTATTTCCAACCTCCTACAAGTCTAATATTATCTAACATTAGCTTTTTACTGTCAATAGCATTATTAAGATCAATTACGTCATGATTTAGCTAATATTTTGCAAAAATTACACACTCTAGCACTTTTGTACGTAAATATTTTGGTGCCATTTGATAGATCTTGATGGTATTTATCGACTGAGATGAAAAAAATTGTAATACCAAAACTTTTTCGATCCATATAAAATGGGAGAATCGTTTCAACGATGCACGGTTGAATTAAAACGGAATCATTTCCATTTATGTTTCGTAAGATTGTTCGAATTCTTTCAATGTATTGTTAGTTATTTTTGGTGAATGATATGTATGAGTGATCTCGTATTTGTCCATTTTCAATATATGATCAGTAGCAAGTTGTGCGTACAGTACCAATTCTATATTATTTTCGTTTGTTAGCGACCTTCACAAACCAATAGATCTCAGCACAAACGACTTCAACATGTTGACTATATGCATCGATATTTTTTGCTGGCAGCTTCTTTGACGAAAGTAAGAGTACATGAAATACGCTGTTACATGGGCTGAAGTGATATTAGACGATGTGATTGAACATGCGCTGCATTTAATTCTCTCTTGACTAGTTGACGGTACTCTTCACAGTGTTCTGTTTGACCGGCTGACAACCAATGTCAATGGTACCGAATTTAGGTGTACGAGATGACCAAACTCATTCATAAATGAGTTTACATTGGCTTTATTGTGGCGTGTTATTTGCGTACATCAAAGCCAAGAGCTCGTTGTCTTCCTTAATGCACATCCACTGATTCAAACAGTGATCTCGTTGGGAACTTTGCCAGTGGAAGTTCCTTGTTCAATGTGTCGATAGATAAATTGTCAAAATACTCTTTTCACTCGGCGATGATAGAGATTTTGATGATCTGATCTACCAGCTTCAATCAATACTCTTGTTTCATGCGAGGAAACAACAGTATGAGGAATTATTTAATGATCACTACAAAGTAATCGCACTTCTATGGTGAAGTAAATAAATATAATTCAGATGTTAGATGTTTTATATGTACTTGTTTAAATTATTTAATGAATCTAAAAGATAAACAAAACAATAATACGGAAGTTAAATATGAATAAAGAGTTGTCGTAGAATGCAATTTGTTATAATGATATAAACCTTTTCTAACTTCGAATTCAGTGAGAGATAAACGAGTTCTGATTTCTAAAAGATCAAATCATTTCCACTCCACCATAATTTCCAACGATTGTCATCAACAAATGAAAGGATGTGCTCTTGGTTCGAAGTCACTGCTTTCAATTGATGTGTTATTAGGCATGCACCAAACCCAAACCGTTTGGGTTTGGGTTTGCGTTTGGGTATTTGAGTTTGGGTTTGGGTTTGGGTATATGAGTTTGGGTTTGGGTATATGAGTTTGGGTTTGGGTTTGGGTATTGAGTTTGAGTTTGAGTTTGGGTTTGGGTTTGGGTTTGGGTGTGGGTATTGTGTTTGGATTTCAGTGTCAGTTTGCTACATTAAGGGGGGCCCCCCCTTAGAAAATCCATTTTTTTGGTAAAGTAATCGAAGTCGAGTTTTTATCATAGAAAGATGCAGCGAAGTTTCCTCTTTCAGAATATATATAAATTTTTAAAAAAAGGTCAAATTTTTACAGACTTTCGTAGGAGA